TGCATGCGCAATGTTGCTGAGTCGTCGCGCTTGTGGTTGTATAAACATAATCATTGCTTGCTTTTCTTTGCAATTTTTGCCAAGCTGGTTCTTTGCGCTGCTGTTACTCTGCAATTGAGGTCTGTTTGCAGTTTGTGTTTTTCTTAGCAATGCGTATGTATTTATTGCTGGTCGCTTCGCTTGGTTTTGCTTTATTTGTGTCGCTCAATGGCTATGGCAGCCCGATTGATGCTGTGTGCCGGCTCATGTTTCAATCGTCGCAACACTTTGGGCCCTTAGGATGAATTGTCGTTTCAGTTTTTCACTCCTCTCGCTGTCTTTTTCAATTCTGCTGCGTGCAATTTTTTGTTGCTGCTGTTGCTGCCTTCTTATTTCGTATATGCTGATTATGGGTTGTCATGTTGTGGTTCGTGGCAAGCTTTAATAAAACGCCAGATATACATACATAAGTGTATATGATTTTTTCATCCTTTTAGAAACCTTGAGTGAGGTCTTCAATGATCCTTTCAACTACCCATATTTCTTGCCATTCCTTTTTGTGCTCCTATAGGCTTAGGGTGTGGCTTTTTTAATGCACTGCACTTTATGCGCATACATATATTTCCATCGTTGTACTTTCTGCGTAATGGAGATGTGCCACACGGTGTAAATGAATATAATCGAATAATCATACATTTATATGCATATACATAAATATAGCTATTTTTCTGTTTTCAAGGGAACACCCACTTGCAGTCGCAGCTGCAGCACCAACGTCAACCTTTGCAGTGTTTGTATGTTAGATAAAATGTAAAAAAATCAAAAAATAAAATATTAATAAACCTAACAAAGTGGGTGTCTTTGTTAATTGTCATCCAGTTACATAAATTAACTTACATACACATACAAATAAGCCCACATAGCATACTATTTGGTTTCCATACATTTTACTCTAATCACTTCAAAGCAATTCACGCTTTAAATTATCTCTAATGATTTGCCTATCACTTTAGTTGACCTCAAGGCACATACAAATATATGAATTAATGAATTGTTCTAGTTAATCGCCTTAAATGCTGTTATGTGGGTGGTTTGACACCATATACTGTATACCCACACACTACACTTCTTAAAAGCATACTTACATYTGAAYAAACATATACATGTGTACATACATATGTATATACAGAGCTAAACTTATATGTATATAGGGAAATAAGTTTGTTACATTACCTTTAAGCATAGAATAATGTCCGCCCTCGCTCTATATACCTGCATATAAATTTCTAAAAAAAAAATTAACTTCAGCTCTAATTACATATTAATATGGATTTTAAAAGCCGAAAGTGACTGTGAAGATATAAACATGCTAAGCCGGTAGCATATAGAAGATTTTCTGTTTTCRTTTGTTGTTAATAAGTTGTAGGTAGTTAAATAAATTTCTCAAACCCCATTCACCGAAACTTCATTCCCCATTAAATGTTTATTATCATTGGAAAGAACATTCTTTGAAATTTATGTTTTCAAGCTCTTTCCAATGTTGGCCACGGTCTTATGTGGTCCATCCGTTGAGTTCAATTTTCGATGACTCGTTCGAGTGTTTCGACTGGTAACTGGYGAAAGACATACGTGATGTTTTACTCCAAGACCTGAATCGAAATGGGGTTGTCCGCAWAGACTTTAGACTTACATCTCCCCACAGGAAAATGTCTAACGATATGATATCGCACGATCTTGGTGGCCGAAGTGTTCTCTCAATAAATCCGTTGATTGATGCGATGTGYGGGAAGTGACGCCGTATTGTGGGCACCAATCATGCTTCTACCGGCTCATAAACCTCATCAAACAGTTGTTTTTCTGCATGAAATGGCAGCTCTGAATCTCTTTAGGTTGCTTTTCGTCTCAAATRCTGTAATTTTGCTTGTTTACATACCCATGGATTCAGAAATGGGTCCAACAAAATTTGGCTCGAAATCTTTGGATTTTCTTGGAACTATTCTAAAGCTCATAGAATGAAGCGATGTCGCTTTCGCGAAGTCGAGTTTTTGCGTAGGGCRCCGAATCGACTCCCTACGGTCTTCGTGTTCTGCCCTGCGTGCTTTGGTTGGTATGAAAACAACTTTTCCAAGATGGCCTCTACTGCCGATAGTTTTTCAAGAACTCGAGGGCGCTTTTATTYTTAGTAAAAGCCACAAAACGGTATATAGTACAAAAGAAAAGTARTTTCCACAATAATTGTCATTCATTTACAACTGTTATTCCAATGTGGGTCAAGAAAATAGATCAAATAGTTAGCTAAAAATAGATGGATAAACTATATATTTACTTACTTCGAGGTCTTCAATTACTTAAAATAGTTTTAAAAATTAAATCGACAGTGTAGAAGATTAACGGTTCAATTAAAGTTCGCTATTTAGCATATTATCACCTTTGAATCTAAAATGAGCATGCACAAAAAGTATAGAAACTAAATTAATGTAAGCAAAGTATTAAATTTTATTATTATGATGATAGCAGAAAGATAGAGAGAAATATGAGATGGGTGAGAATATGTGACTTTGTCGTGGCTTGAGAACCCCTAGGCAAATGTGACTTAGAGTTGTAGATATTAAAGTATATTCAACTACACATGTATGTACATACATACTTTTATACTATTGTAGAATGAACTATGTGGAGTGATTTGTTGGACAAGYAATTCTTAAAAAAATTATTGAAATTAATGAATTTTATTTTATGTCAAAGGGGAATATAAGGGGAATATATTACATCTTTAGTATGCTACCGATTAGATAAATACAACATTTTGGGGTAATAAAAAATATTCTTTAGAACCTTTTTTTTGTTGACTTTTAAGAACTTCCCAGGTGTTAAGCATAGCATGTGAGATCCCACGAGAAAGCGTCGCCCAAAAATTATTACTTTGTATAGTATATACATACATACTTACCACAATGAATATAATACATTTTTGATAAGGGCACAAGCCCACAATTGTCTATTGACAAACAAGTAATAAAGTAAGAATAATTTAAAAGAAAAATAGAAARGTGACTCCACGCCAAACTAGTTTGAAGAAAGGCTGCTCGCTAGCAGCTGGGCTGGGCGAGCCTCGTTATTGGCAGCAGCATTTAAAGGCAGCGAATTAATTATATTGCTGCCCACGTTCGATTCCTGCATGCACAATGCAGCAAAGTAAATAAATAGAAAAAGAACAAATAAAGAGCATCAAGATCCAACGGGGTTCAACAGTTCACTCCATGCTGCAACAGATAAACGCTTGATACACTCGTGTGTTTGTATATACTTATGTATGTATGTACTCTCGTTATTGCTTTTTCAACGATCACCCTCTTTGATGTCGTGTTAGAAAAACGTTAGAAAAATACTCGTCATATGCGTGGGGCTCGGCTGCATTGCGTTGCTGGAGACACACAGCCTACCGAAAAAACATCAAACGTATTGTGAAAAAATTAAAAGCAAAACAAAACGCCACAAAACAATATCAAGAGCCAAAACAAACCACTAGAAAACCCCACAATTTGAAGCATTTAGCGTTGTTGTTTTGATCAAAGTTTATTTCATATTTTATTTTGATTTCATGTTCTCGCTTTAGTGTCTACGAACGACCTCAGCGCCGTTTCGCCTAACAAACTCAACGCACTCAAATGCCTCCACACTTTAATTAAACTTCATTTACTTAGTGAGTACGAGTAGTACACCTACATACATATGTGGTTGCACTACCACAAGCTTAATGCCTTACATACCTACACACATACATATGTATGTATGTATATTCAAACAGCTTTTATGAGTTTGGCAGAACCACTTCGCAGTTAGAAAGACAGTGGACTGTAAAATAAAAACAAAAATGTGCGCACAGTGTTAGTGGGGGTGGGAGTTGTTTGTCCACCCGTGAGCGAAGACCCCTGGTGAGTGATCCCACAAAGCTTATAATGCGCTGAGAGAGGGAATATGAGAGTATATCACATATGTGTGTGTACAATTTTGCAAACTTTTTACACCAAATAAGACTCCAAAGTACGACAACAACCGGTTCATTTGTTTACATACTCCAAAGCAACACATTTACAATTTTTGTTTTGAACTCCAATCAGCGGCTGCTGTTAACTCATTGTTCTCTCATTGTATGAGAGAAGATTTTGTGTTTAAGATTTCTTGATTAGGGACGTTGTGCATTTGTAACATAAAAGAATATACAAAAAATTAACGTAACGCGACTTAAATTTTTAAAATAGTTATTTTTTTAATGAGTGAGGGTTCAAAAGAAAAGTTTTCAAATGTTTAAGAATGCCAAATCGAGCTAGTAGCAGTCACAAAGGTGGATACATCTTAACACACATCTTTTGAAAGCAAAAGAAAGTAAAATTTATACTTTTGGCCGACGATTTCACAAAACATGCAAATTTTGGTGAAAATTTCTCGATGTTTTTTGTTGTTTTAATGTTTGTAATTTAAAAACAACCACTTTTAAAATTTGTAATTTATATCTCGAATACCTGTGTATAATTTCACTTAGAAAACATTATTATCAGAAAAACGGATTTAATTAAAGTGTTAAGTTAGCTGACGTGGAGCTCGCAACTTTTCGATGCTGTATATAGAGAACTATTATTCAGTTGATTCAAATAATAGTTTTCAATAGTATATACAGCCTTGAAGAAATAGTAACCCAATTTTCTACTGATTCGTGAGCCACTCTGATTTATAATCAATTTTTCTCTGACTAACTCAAAAAGGGTATCATAAACAACATCTTGTTTTTAGCGAACTTTCAATGATTTTAATAATTTTTTAACTTTCMATAGAAAACACATTTTTTTTTATTCAACCTTTAATAATTTTTTTAACAATCTTATTAAACTCAAAATCATATATTTTTATTTAAACTCTTTAAAAAAAATTTCTTATATTTAAAATTAATTTTATTAAATACTTCAGATTAATTACATTTATAACATCCTTTTTTCTTTGTTCTTTATTTTTCAATTTACTAGCATCCCTATTGCAAACTCATTTCATCTCAACAGATCACAGCTAAGGCGCTCGCAGCTCCACACTGGCTCCACATGCCAACAACACACTCCAACGACTGGCAATGATCACGACACCAGTGTTAGTTGTAAAGTTTTKCGAAGCGCTGAATTCAGTCTCGTTTTGACTCTTTCGTTTGTGTGACGTAGTCTCGTTGGCGATCGGTTGAAGCGCGTGCTTGSTTGTCGGTGTACAAATATTTTTGTTTACATATTACGAGCCTTTACTAACATACGAAGTTAAAATGGTGCGCGAAGAAAAATAAATTTAAATAACAAATTATATGCGAACAAACTAAAACTATTAATATTTAAAAATTGTGTGCGAAATGTGTAAAACTCTTAAAAACTAATAATAATAAACATATCGTGACTGCTATTTTCTACTGTCAAACGGTTATGTCAATTTGTTTGTGTGAAGTTTGTTGTAACACAAAGAATCGTAGTGGAAACGACAACTCATAAAACGAGCGGAGTAAATAAATTGTAAACTAAAATTATATTATTTTCTTTTGCTCTGTGCTATGTGTGGTAATTTTTCATATATTCGAAATATTTGAAAAGCATAAAGGAAACCGGTCAATCGTCGCGCGGAACATTTGTTAAGTTCATTAGCGTTTCTACACTTTATTAACTACTTCTACTTATGAACTTCTAACCGAATACGAATTCGCGTTTTGGGCATGCGGACAATTATTTCATTTATTATTTGTTGTTGGCGCTGCGAAAGAGTGGTCATCGCGTGTTTTTCTTGATTCCGGATCTTATAGAATAAAGCGGGTCGTGTATATGAAAAAGTGATACCAAAAATGTTAGAAGATGTAATTAAAATCGCATAAATAATTACTAATAATTAATAAAAAAAAACTTTTTCGCAACGAATAAAAAAATTATGGTTTGAAAAATTAAAATCTTGCAATTTTTCTGCTGAGTTCATCCTGTGTATTAAAAGTGCTGAACTAAAAAAAACTACTAAAACTAAAATTAAACTAAACGAATAAATCAGTGGAAAATAAAACTATTTGTTAAAACGAAAATATTTTTATATATGTTATATGTGAGATAATAAAATTGTGTKCATATAAAATGTTTACGAAGTGCTGCAATTATTATTAACCATTAAAATATTAATCACCGAGGAATAGTGGCTTCATAAAGGATTTTTAAAAGGTAAGTGTGGAAGAAATTTTGAATATTTCGCAATTTTTAGATATGAATAAACATATTTTTAATTTTTAACACAAATATTTTAAAATTTATTTTTTTAATTTTTTATAAAAATTGTTCCAAAACTTTTATAATTGAKACTATAATATGTATAAAGTAAACTAACTTAGAGACTTAATTCCTGATATGACTCAGTAAATAATTCAGATTTCATTTGATTCTAAACTGAATTAATTCGGTTAATAATTTTAGTTCATTCCAGTAGTCAATCTGCACTATACTTCGTAGAGGTTTTGACAGTCTGAAGACTTCCATTATGAGGTTATATGATCCGTTTATTTGCACAGCATTTAAGGATAGAATATATGTTCTTGTTGATATTAGTATCTGGCATCGATTTTTATTTCGGACCAAAAAAAAAAAAAATAACGGCATTGTTTTGTGATAGCAATGTGGTTTGTACTTTTTCACAGATCTTGAGACTCCTTTATAAGGTTATGTGTTTCGTTTAGTTGCATAGCATTGCAGGAAAAAATTGTAAGCTGTCGAATGAAACCATGATTCGGGCTCCATTTTAAATGCTGTGATTATAGTTTTTCAATATATTTTCAATATTTGAAGAACTTTGAGACCATTTATAATTTTGTCTGTGTTTTGTAGCGTACAGAGAGAGAACAGAGTTGTTAATGTCACGTTAYGGAAGTGGTATTTTTATATCATTTAAAATATTTGCAGAAAAAAAAACATGTTTAAATAAAAAAAAAGAATATTTAAATGAAATTTTTGGAATTTTTTTCAAAGAAAACAGACGTTTAGGATCTTTGATAAATGTTAATGATGCTAGTATTTTGTGCTGCTCCTTTACGATCGTCAGCATAATTTGGTCACAGTTTTGCTTTTATAAAATCTATTCCAGAGGTTTGGAATATTTCTATATAAGGCCTSCTACTCACTTCCGTACATTGGCCGCCGTCGTTGAGCTTAAAAATGTTGTCGGTCAATGCTCTAGGAATATATGTATATATGAAGGTCACTGATCGAAATGTACAAACATAGTCACATTACCTATACTTAAACACCTATACTTAGCCTTCGTTCTTCCATTAAGCTATGTTTCAAGGTTGGGAAGACAAGACGTGTTTATTTTAAAAGATTCTCAGCACCATTTAAACATTACAAACAAGCTAAACATGTTGCAGTTCAATAATTTTAACCAGTTTATGATACGAACGCAAAATACAAAAAGATGTTAATAACAATGTGAATATGACATTTTCATGGGCGGCAAGACAACGTTAAAGACAGGAGCCCAMTATGAAAAGGAGAGTAAATCTGACAAAACGACAAAGTAAAACGAAGCAGATGACAAACMATTTACCACAATATTAAGGGGAACGAACAAACATATTTACACGATACGCATCGAAATCAGGCAACCAGGCTGAAAAAAGCGAAGAGCAAAAATTAAATGGAGAATCAGTGCAACAAATAAAGAAGTGAGGAGCAAGCAAAAATATACGAACCACAGTACACGTAACAACAAAAATACGAACATATGYACAAATTCACAAATGCTATTCGCATGTAGGCTGAATTTACAACAGCAACCGCAGTCAGATCGAGAAGATATGCAACCAATCAGCCAACCGTCGAAGAATGGATGGATAGATGGAAGGACGGATGGAGAAACTGATGATTGGACGATTGTATGGCTGTAGAAGCATATGTGCATATGTATATTTGCGACTTATGTATGCATGCTGCTTGTGTTGCTCCATAATATTGCCCACTACGCCTATTTGCAATAGCAACTGCAGCCACTCCAAGAGCCGCAGCAGCAGTTGACAAGATAGTCGGAGAAAGACAGACATCTATCTACCATATGTATGTATGTATGTAGGGGTGCAGGCTGCCAACTTGGCTGCCGCGTAGGCAGTTGGCTGCGAAACCACCTATAAACAATAGTGGCAATAAGACAATACGGCGCATGTGCATGGCTTTGTACTATGATCATACCCGTAATAATATTGTGCACACGAGCATGCGCAGTTGGGGTAGGACGACAGTCTGACTGTTTGACGAGACGGCTAAATGACGGAATCGAAAAAGAAGTTTACGAGCAAAGGAACTTAAACTAGTGTTAATAGCAGTCAATTCAAGCGTTAGATCGTCAACTAGTCAATGTTGCAGGAAGAGCGTGCAGCGCGGCGCATTTTAGATTGTTAGTCAGCTGTGCGATTTGCCAGTCACTTAGTCAATTAGTCAGCCAACCGTTGCGGTGTATACATGCATAGATACAGTCGGTTGGCAGCGGTTGTCGGCGGTTTTATGTAATACCAAACAATTTGCCACAAATTGGCTGAAGACGAAAAAGTGTCGGTGGTAAATGTTAATGCTAATGGCGGCAAACGACACACCTTTCTTCGGGCGAAAAAGTCGTCTGCGAAGGCTTGAAGATGTCTGTGCATATATGTGTATGCAATTATTTACGATTTATAGTAACTTTGTGTAGGAAGTTATTGATTTATAGAGGAAAATTTAAATATAAGGCTTGTGATGCATTTTATAGCGACCAAAGYCCGAGATTAGTGCTTACGAAAAGTTAAAATAACTGCAAATTAGATTTGATATTTTTTTCTGTATATTAACCWGTGGCTGGTATTAAATTGTTATTTGCTTGTATGAGCTCTATAGAAAGGTTTCTTGATAATATTTGGCATTCTCCTTTTTTGGAGGTTCACGTTTTCGACTTGTTGATAAGGTGAAATATCTATGTATTTCTTGATGAAAAGCAATGCTTTCATAGAGACCGTATATTGGGGAGAGAGTAAAGAAGYATCGGTTGTCTTAGGAAAAGGTGGATACTCTCATAAAAGGTGGAGTTTTGACTCTACGAAACCGTGRTCAAGCCAATAATCTTCTAAGGTGTATTCGTCTGATGGATAGCGTTCAAAATTTGATACATAGCACATTGCCAGCAGGTGTATTGCTGCGAAGTGTGTTTTAAGGTTCAGGGAAGCTGGGTATATGAAGGGGTTGGGGGGCTTGACAACTCGGATTAGTGCGTCGCARGGGCCACTTGTTGCGGCTTTTTCCTTGCTCAAATACCAACGAGAGATATGTGGATCTGCGGATATGTCAATGTTGCATGTAGGTGGGTGAGGTAGAGCAGCCAAGCATTTTTTTCTATTTTGTCTAAACTTTGTAAGCCAGAGGCTGTATAACAGCTGTCTTATCTTCTGCGAACCAGAAGATCTCATCTCAATAAATTTCTGATAGGCTCAAGGCGATTTATAAATTTTTAATCGTTTTGTAATCTATTTTTGTATTTTAGATACCTCAACGAACCGAAATTCTAAGCTCTCCAAATGAGATCAGTATAAGGTTCGGCCTCTTAACTTAAATTAACGTAGTATTTATCATTAATACATAATGATTTAAGAGACTTTTTAACGCAAGATTGCCTCTTAAGTACTGTTAATTTGTTTCAGTAGCTAGTAAGGATTGTTCGATCCGTTACTCTCTAATATTTGGCAAATTGGACAATCGATCGATCCTTTTGGGATATGCTCCAACTTCTTTTAGCTCATTTACGAATATCTCTTATTGGTAGTTACGGCATTGCATCACATTATTTCGGTGACGTTTATAATAATTTATCTTATAATTATAAATATAWTAAAATGAAAAATCACTGCTTTTTGCTGACGCGTCTTCGTCACTCAACCTGAAACAGCGTACAATCATCGCATTACTTTTTTTGTCACTAACGTTATCTCTTTAATGCTTTCACTAATTGAGARTTTACTAAAAATGATTCACTAAAAACTACAAATCGCACAAATTTAGTCATGCTTTCTAAYGGTAAAATAAGCTAATATTGACTATTTAAACATTTTATCATGCTGATGTTGTAAATATGATAAGAGTCTTACATAAGGGTATTCACATATGCTAAATTGACTAATGGATACACACACTACAAGTGCCCACTTATCTGCATGTTTGTTTGTAAATGTGTTCCTATAAAGATAACGATAAATTGCTGTGTATGACTGTGCAGCAAACTAATTGGAAATGTGAAGAAAATAACCGTAAATTGGCGAAGCAATTTTTGGCCATTG